GAGACATCTGGTCGGAACGTTACCTCTCTCAGATAGAGGAGGCGATGACCGGAGAAGCGCGTGAGGAAGTCGGCTGAGTTGTTTTCAGTGACTGTGAACTCTGCAAAAGCCCCAGAGTGCCTTTCTGCTGCAAAGCGAAATTTGCTATGTAGGGTAAGAACACTGCGCAAGTCCTCTCTAGGTAGAAAGCTAGAGATTCTTTCGATGAGCTCTTGTGGGAGTTGGTTCATGATGGCGTGAGGATGTGGTAGACAGTATGAGTTGAGTTGAGGTAATGAGTAACGTTTGGTGGCTAGGCGAGTGCGATGCGGAGGAGCGATTGAACTTCTATGAGAAGACTGCGGAGATGATAATGGGAAATTACTGTCTATGACGAACGTGCGCGTGGCACAGCTCTGGGCTGACTTGCGGCGTAGTCACAACATGCGGCTAATTCGGAACATTCCGAAACATTCCGGGCGCTACAGTGGCTCCTTCCTGCCCACCACTTGTCGCATCTATTGTCGCTGAAGTCGCGCGGAGGTAAGAGAGACAGTCATGATAGGTCATAGTTCTCCTGCAAATTCCAATATCGGAAGATCACAAGGGCAGTAGCCTGGCTTAACCATGCGGGCAAGCCTAAAGTTGATCTTAGTCTTGAAACTCCATATGTACACAGTGCATATGCCCAGAAAGCTATACCGTTAGACATCTTGTCCGCACCGCACAGAAGAGTAGGCCCACGTTATACAAGAATAATCTAAACAGACCTGCAGACTACATTGAGACAAAAACTTGCAAAGTGGGTGACTTGACGTTGATGTAGGCTCTAGGGTCTTCAGGTTTTTCTTCTGCTCTTCTACATTCTGCTCCGACTCGTCGGATAGCATGTGACATCTACTGTCCTCTAGATACTTGTTCAGATTCTTCATAACTTCGGGATCCTTCGTCTCTGACAAGCCGGATGGATTGGACTGCTCGTAGGCGATGGGATCGCAATTTTCCGCGAGAATGCATGCCGTCAGGCCGGCCAACAGACCGAGGGAAGCCTTCATGTTGGATCGTGGTACAGCAAAGACACAAATGAATAAAGATGGTGAGGTACAGTTTGGATGGCTGTCTCTTGCGCGTTCAACCATAGTCCTATATACTCATATCGATTCTGGTCTTGAGTACACTTGGGAAGTACGCCCCCAAAATCTACTATTAGCATGAAGCAGTCTAATACAACCACGCCGTGAGGTCTGGCTATTCGGAATGTCGATGAGCTGTCATTTTGGACCCGGCAGCCTGTGCCGCTTGATGTTAGATGAAGCTGACAGACTCCTGAATGCATGGCACAGTCGAAGTATACGTCATGATAGAGCCATGGCAAGATTCCATCGAGATGCGAGTGGGAGACGAGATGGACTCTTGCAAATCGACGAACTCGAGTACCTATTGCCGAAGAAAGCCAGGCCAGATACGATGTATTTCGGATGGGCGGCACATTCAGGCCTGAGCGAGATAGTCGAAGGCTTCACCAGGTAACGCAGTGCCGGTTTCCGGACGATATTAGTGGTATCTTTTGGTCGTGCCGGATTAAGCAGAGCCAAGAGGATTACGCGCTGCCAAGGACTTGCAAGGCTTACGGTGGTGAGGTGATTCAGCCCCATCATTGTTAGAATCGGACACCGAAACGTCGCTTATTGCCAGCGAAACAACCGCGAATGCGACCAGGTCGCCAATAATGGTGTTCCTCAAATTGCGGCGTTGTCGCGGATCGCAAATGCCGCTTACCAAGACTGCTCGTCGATAGCTCCGCTCCGCCTCGATCTCACACGGAATCACACTTTACCGGCGTCAGCGACGTCACCAGAGATAAGAACAACGGAAGGTCTTGAGTCTGGAACGCGAGCTTTGCATCTAGACGGCACTAACAGCGCCATTTGTTCATTCTGCTCGGATGCTAGTCTCGTAGTTCAAATCCTACGACAACGAAGAAGGAATGCGGCCTGGGTCACCCCAGTGATCGTCAAGCATCCATTCGCGAAGATAGCTGTAGTGGGATTGACTGTAACCCTCCTCCCAGTGCTCGACCAGATCATTACCGTGCTTCTCTCTCCCAATGTTCTGGAAAAGACGGCGCAGCTCCGCATCTGGACGCCACGCTGCCACCATCCACACTAGGCAACGTATGGTTGGATCGTCGTTTCTTTCTTGACTTGGGAGATAGTGCGATGGTGACCCCCAGATACCATTGTCTTGATCGGAATATTGTATAGCCCAGTTAGGCCCAGGTCCTTGATATTCCGAGTCCCAGCCTTGGGACTCTGCGTAGTCATATTCCGGATACCATTTTAGCGATGTCCAAATGATGGCTCTCCTCAAAGAGCACATTTGCGCTGCTGCCCTGGAAAAGCCTGCTAGGAGCGGCCTCAGTCTTGCTTCATCTGGTATGATACGAAACTGATTCTGCGCGCCATTAGGTAAGTCGGAGAGATGCCCGGAGGTTACAAGCTGGTCCATATCAATGTCGAGCTCGGTCGTTTCAAGAGGGGGGTACGAGGCAGTGGTGATGTCGTAACCGACAGCCTCGCGGCCGTGGCCTTGAGGTCCGAAGAAGTACCACGACCCGTCAGGCCGCGACGGGTGGAACATGACTTCCAGAATTTCCAGATTGGGCCATTGCGGCTGTGAATTATCGTCCATGCTGAACAGGTTTTCATCAACAATCGCCCACAGGCGCAGTTGTCGCAGATTATTGGTCAGGATACGAAGGCTGGCGCTGAATGGGTCGCGGAGAGCTGGACCAACTAGATTAGGTAAAGGCCTGTCTTGAATAGTGTCAAGTGCGCGTATCAGCGGGCTGACGAAATCCAGGCTCGCCCGCTGAAGCGAGGTCGGAAGCTGGGCTTGGTGAGAGATGACAGCGTGTGCGAAATTGTGCCTCGCATCACGACGTGGGCCATCCCAATCGCTTTGGAAGTGTCTGTTGGGGTCTTCACTACCATCATTACCTGAAAATGCAGGAGCCCATTCGAACCCTCCTGTCTTGCAGCCGAGATACTCCAGGTTTGGAAGCTTCGATACCAGAACGACCATGACCCCCAAGTCCAATTTGAACAATCCACCATCGAAACACTTTCTGTAATCTGCAGGATAACCGTGACTATCGTGGTAAACACTCGCGTCTTCTGGGCATTCGTTGCAAATCTCCAGCGAACGAACTGAATGTACCAGGGGAAGCTCCGCGTTGAGCAGACGAATGCGCCAACTGATGTATTCCTGGTGAGGACAGTAAACAGTATTATGTATTAGCCTGGTGGGGTCATACATCCGGATTCGATATCGACCCGAGGCTTGCTGGTGTCCAGTATTCTCCTCAACAGTGCTGAGCGTTGTGAACAGCGAGTGCACCTGACGCGTGAAGCACTCATTCTTGGCTCTTATTGCATCGGCGTTTTCGCGACATGTCTCGCCCTCCCAGGGGTCGGGGGGCCAAATTGGAGGGAAGTTGGGGCGAAAGTGCAATTCCCGCAAGTAAAGCAGCCGGTGTCCTGAGTAAAGCCCAAGGAACTTGTCCGCGTTACGCTCATTCAGGGTAAATTCTGTGAAAGCGCCAGAATATTTCTCCGCGGCATAACGAAACTTTGTGGAGACAGTTAGAACGGTCTTTAGATCGTCCGTGGGCAGGGTTTTGGTGATTTCCTCGACGAGTTCTTGCGGCAACCGATCCATGCCAAGCTAGCGACTTCAATGGGCTGACTGAGATTGCCGTATTTTCCGCGCGTGTTCGATTTTTGGACAGGTGTGTAGTTGTAGGTAGACGTCGAGGGAATGGGGGGCAGAGTGACAGCGAGTTGAGCGTGTGTTGTTGGGGGCGGGGTTGCGGCGCGGTTGCTGTAATGTATGTAGGCTCCAAGCCCCCATGCCCTATCAATGGAAGCACATTCCGAACATTCCGAAGCGTTCCGAGCGTAAGAAACTGGCAAGAGTCCATACGCGTCGCTGGTATCTCGAATGCTGACCCGCTTAGGAGGTTAACCACTAATGCAGCTGTAAGGGTGTGGAATGGGTTAGGATGCAACATAACGGGACCCCCCAGTAAAGACTGATTTGTAGAGGGAAGGCGAAACGAATGGTACTGAATTCAGACTGAGCCGTCGAACGTGAAGAAAGCTTTACAGCTGCATCTCTCACTTACGAGCCCAGCCAGACTGTAAACATACCACTGAAGAGATTTGCGTGTTGAGTGGCATCATACTGAAGCCTTGATGAGATTGCGTGCTTTTTCGATAGTAGTAGACCGTCAGTATCCGAGGATGTTGAAGACTGTTGGAATAGCTTTGAAGCAGTCCATTTCGAGGTACAGAACATGAAAACTGCGCAGTCGAGAAGTGTTACACGTCTGTAAGCGCTGGCTGGAACGAGCATGCCGCTGGTGCAGGTGTTGTTATGGTGATGGCGCGGATGCTGGAAGTCACCGCAGGCGTCATGCCAAGGCGAGCTAACGCCATCCGGACTCCCTTCCACGCAGAACCATGGAACGCAGTAACATTAAATGCAAACACGTACGCATGCTGCACTTCTTTCTGCAGTTGCTGCTTCGGAGACAATGAAGGTGAAGATGTGCAGCTACCTCTAAGTGTGCACGATGGGCAGAAGACGATCGCGCAGGTTCCACCTATCCTCGGCGATCTCTCTTATGATTGGTCCATTGCGTGCGCAACTTCCTTGCCAAAAAAGCCGCCCCAACGCATCCGCTGAACACGCTCGACATCGCCGCCCACCTAAACCTTTTCCATCGCCAAACAGCACCCCAACACCTCATTTCATCACTTTCGACGCGATAAAACGCATGCGGAAGTCCGTGCGACACTTTTGACACCCATATCGACAATATCACGACGCGTTGGTGGTCGGATCGCGCTTCTGGGAGCGTGACTCCTCTCTTCGCTGGCTGGCCCCCGGCGCCAGATTTGCAACCAAAGCCCCATACGCAGCCCAAACCGTCGTCACGTGCATAACGACAAACAACAATGACGGCTCGCGCGACCGGACAACGCTTCAGACAGCGCAAGCTATCGACAAAACAGAATTTACCTGTCGTGCGCGAACATGAGGTTGAGCAGCTTGCTGATGACGATGCGTCGCGCCATATTCCCAAGGTTGAGACCGGTGTTGAGAAGGGCGAGGAGATTGTAAGTCGCGCTAGGCCGCTTTCGGCTTTCCCTTTCCCTTACCCACCACATACTAACATCATGTTCAGGAGCACCATTTACAAGCTGTCATATCCGCCGCCCAGGCAGCAGCGCAAGGAGCGACTGGTGGGAAGATTGCACAACTCTACATCCCGACTCCGGATGCTGTCGCGAGTACACTGCAGTATGAAGATGTCTATCCAAAACGATTCACGCAGCCCGCAACTTACATTCGATTTTCGTCTACCGTCGAAGATACATCTGGCTGTCCGTATTGCATGACCAGTGATGATGTCGCCTTTCTCAAGTCTTACAACCAAAAGAAGGGCAAGACCAACCACTGCTCAGAAGACGAGTTTGAAGAAGTGATCAACTTCTTCGAAGAGACCACCGCGATAAAACAACCGTATGCAGCCGTCGACAACTCGCCTGTTCTTTCTTACGAGGAACTCGAAGCAGAGTTCGATGAGACCATCAGCGAGTCAGCGCGTCGGTTCGCACGAGATATTTACCCACATTGGAAGAACCAACGGCTACTGAAAGGCAATCGCCCGCTCATGCCCTCATTGAAGTTCGAGACGAACCTCGAGACCGATGATGCTGATCCGTATGTTTGCTTCAGGCGACGTGAGGTGCGGCAAGTACGTAAGACGCGTGGTCGCGACGCGCAAGTAACCGAGAAGCTGAAGAAGCTGAGGAAGGAACTGGAGGAGGCTCGTCTGTTGATGTCGCAAGTCAAACGGCGAGAGGCAATCCAAAGAGAACAACTCGCGACGGACAAGCTAATCTTCGAACAACGGCATGCTGTCAAGGAGCTTAAGCGACGACTCAGTATCAAGGGTGATGACGACGAGCTGCTCATCACTCAGAAGGTATGTCGCAATGAACTTACCACATCATTTGCACAGATGACTAACCCACCACAGCCTGCACCCAAGCCCAAGAGAACTGCCGATGTCGAGAGACAGCGCCAGACGCTTCCTGGCATGAAACCCACAAACACACGTCCAGACGGGCGCCTTGTTGACGGTGACATCGTATATCTCGAGGAGCAGCAAGCCAAGCGCACCGAGGCCATTGATAGCTTCATCGAAGACAATCTGGTCAAACACCAGAAGTGGAATGTGGGATGGGTCGACGCAACATGGCGGCCCATTACACCCCCTCTGGAGCCACCCGCTGCGAAGTCGGACTTCCGTACGGTTTTCACGGAGAGTCAGCTTCCCACGCCTCCTGCATCCGTATCTGATGGAGAGGGTGCTGATGCCACAGCAGTGGTGCCGACGAGTAAGCAGACAGATCCACGGAGAAGCACGCGTATCCGTTTCGCCACTCCTCCAGATGACGTTCCATTCCACGATCAGTCTCGGTTCCGTCGTAGAATCGGTCGAGGTGGGCGCATGATGATCGACCGACGAGGCGTGAAGCGTCAGAAGACCGAGCGGGTCGATGATCGCTTGGCAGACCGATGGCGATTCTCTGGTGATAGCAGCGAGGATGAAGAGACTTATCCCGTTGATTGGACTGACAACCTGCATATCAGATACCGCATCATGATCGAGCGTCAAGGCGAGAAGGCAGCGGCGCAGCAACCACCCGCAAATCCCAATCGCCGGTCGATTGAGAACCATAATCGATCTGCGTCCGGCCATCTTCTTCCTCCTACACCAACAAGCGCGACAGGCGCAGGACCAGCGGGAAGATGATACCCACAATTTGCTCAGCCTTCTTCGTTCAGCGCTTTTCTTGTCGACAAATTATACCCTTTGTTTTCTATTCGTTCGGCGGGCTCTGGCTTCAAACATCTACCAAAGCTATGTACACTAGCCCTATAGATTTGAGGGAGGGAGGATGGGTGGTCGGTTGGTCGGTTGGTCGGTTGGTGGGTGGGTGGAAGGGCAGCGACCTAGATGGAACATAAGTCAGCAAGTCAATACTTGGATACATATACATACCAACGCCGTGGAGTGCCGCAAGCACTTCAATTGGCGACAAAAAAATCCAGAAACTTACCAAATTCTCTTTTACCTCTTGAATATCGTTCTGATGATCGGCTTATTTTTTTGGTGTAATCGCAACACGACCACAGCAGGTGCTGATTGGTACAGTCTGGAGTGGATCAAGCTCTGTGCTTCTTCCCCATACCACCCATCTCTACATCCCCCTCTTCATCAACAGCCCTTTGCCGCTTCGCCGCCGCACCGCCATCTCTTGCAATCTTCTCCACCAGCGCATCTTTTGTCTGAGCCAGGAGCTGCTTCTCGCCGATACGCACAGCCTTTGCCATCGCAAGCCTCCGCTGCTTCGGCGACGCAGCGTCAACAGGCGGGACTTGACCAAACGTCTTCAAGTCGTCTTCCAGCGATGTAGCATACTGCGCAATGCGTGCCTGGACAATCTTCTGCAGCGCTTCCGCGCCTTTGCTAGTGATCTTTTCTGGTTTAGGTAGGCGGCCTTTGCTGCTAAGGCGCTCGTATTCTTCTGCTGGGAGGAGCATGCTTTCTACTAGGATGACGAGCTCGGGGGAGAGACTTTCCTGAAGGGTGAATGGGTTGCTGGCTGCGATGTCGTAGCCGGAATCGATCACCTCTTGCTCGTCGAGGTATTCCATCCTGTCTTGATGCCAGATGCCGTCGCGGACAAGGATCTCTGTGACGAGCTCGGCAGGAATCTCGACGACGTCGTACTGCGCGTAGTTATCGGTTACGTAGCCGTATCTCCTTAGTAGATCGCTTCGGGGAAGGGAGCCATAGTCGTTGAAGATCTCGTCGCCTGCCAGAATGGGTTTAAGCGCTTTCATCTCCAGGCAGTCCTTCTCGTAAAAGAGTCGCGCATTGCATCTGTCGGCATCGGCATTTAGCATGTCAGCCAGCGGGACCATGCCCTTCGGTAGCGCAGCATCTTCTTCTTCCTCAGCAAAACCTTCCTCGTCTACCTCTTTGCTAGGTGTCGCAGGCTCAACGTCAAACGCATACGCCATAATCAAACTCCCCATCTTATGCATCAACTCCAAATTCTCAGGGCTGCGCATCTCCTTCGCCTTGTCTTTCGCCCTCGCATCTCCACTAAACACTATCTCCGCAAACTCTTCTATCACAGGTAACAACTGCTCTGTGAAAGCTTCGTCTGCGCCCTCCTTCCCTATCTTGGTGACCACGGCGCTGGCTTGTAGCTCGGCTAGTTCGTCTTCGGACCAGAACATCAGGGTGTTGAACTCGGTGGGCAGGACGGCGAAGTAAGGAGCCCAGTTCGATGCATGACCATTGTGGTATTCGTAGAGCATGACGAGTATGAGGGAGAGCCAGGGGCCGAGGAGGGCGAAAGTCGAGGCGGGGATTTCGCGGCTGAGGATGCTGTTTTCGACGCTGAGGATGGAGGCGCGGGGTATGCGGAAGAGCAGTTCGTGCTCGGCGATGGGTTCAGTCGCGACTTGACTTATGTTAGTATGGATCTGCCAAATGTACAATGGAGGGTGGTGGCAGTCGAGGTAGGTCTGGCAGCATGCATAGGTGGAGTAGCTACTTACCCACGCCTCGCCCAGCATCCTGGTTCCTCAGATCTTGCAGCTTGACCTTTGGACTGATTTCCGCTCCAGAAGCCTTCAGCCACGCCAGAAAGATCTGGCTGGCGCCGTCGAAGTCTGCCATACAGCACAACGGTCCGGTGTGGCGTGGGATTGTTGTGGAGGGCTGGATATTTGGTGGATATTCTTTAGCGGTTCGGCGTACCGAGGCTGCTTGGTCCGAGCGGTGGAGGATTTGGTGGCTGGGGTATGGAAGAATTTGCAACTCTTGCTTTTCGTTCTTTGATCGAAGAGGTATGAAAGGGAATCGAGGATAGGCGAATTGGATAGATTTGGGATATGAAGGATTGATTGTGAAGATATGCGACAGAATTAGTGGACTTTGTTGTGGTGGTTCACAGACCCTGCAGCACCTGACTCGCGGGCGCTGTGACGTCTTTTCGTGGGTTTTTATATCGGCTTGCTTGCTGCATACGTGCAGCGTGCAGCATCGCCATCATCTGACAGGACGATCGTGAATTTCGCAAGAGTTGTATGATCAGCAAATGTGTTGAAAACGGTCGGCTTCTACTTGCACTCGCACTACCCAGGTTCCTTTACGGACGTGGGAGCTCTTCCACAGTAGCAAATGCACATAGCTTAATTTCTGAGAGCATTGGATGACTCAGTTCTGTTAACTCGAGGTTGCATCGCGATTTCGCGAAAGTTCATAACACGCGATTTAAATTACACCGCTGCTGGCCATTGGTGGTTGCCCAGCGCTGGCTTCATGCATGTCATTCCTTATCGATAGCTTTTTCCAACGTCACCCCGCCTCGACGCGTCAAACATCAACGCCGAACCGCGACGACCGCCACAATGATCGCCATAGGACTGGAAGGAAGCGCCAACAAGATAGGCGTCGGTGTCATCTCCCACCCTGGTCCTAACAAGCCACCGATTATTCTTGCGAACCTGCGGCATACCTATGTTTCCCCGCCCGGCGAAGGCTTCTTGCCCAAGGACACCGCGATACATCACCGAGCATGGGTCGTGAGGCTAATCAAGCAGGCTGTGCGACAAGCGGGAGTCAAAATTGAAGACATCGATTGTATATGCTATACCAAGGGCCCAGGTATGGGCGCACCATTACAAAGCGTCGCGCTTGCAGCCAGGACGATCAGTTTACTGTGGGGGAAGCCCATGGTGGGCGTGAACCACTGCGTTGGTCGTAAGCGTCCCAAGAAATCTACGTATCCGAATTCTAGCTAAGATCACGCAGACATCGAAATGGGTCGCTCAATAACCCGCGCCGATAACCCCGTGGTCCTATACGTATCTGGTGGCAACACCCAAGTCATTGCTTACTCCGCCCAACGGTATCGAATCTTCGGTGAGACCTTGGATATTGCCATAGGAAACTGCATCGATCGCTTCGCCCGCACACTTATGATACCCAATGACCCATTCCCCGGATACAATGTTGAGCAGCTGGCAAAGCATGGCAGGAATCTCGTCGATCTACCATATGGCGTCAAAGGCATGGACGCGAGCTTCTCGGGTATCTTGGCTGCAGCCGATCTCCTCGCACGCGGACTAGACGAGTCATTACCCGACGAGAAAAGATTAAAGACTGAAGATGGACAGCTGGTCACAAGAGCAGACATGTGCTTCTCCCTACAAGAGACCATTTTCGCCATGCTCGTTGAGATTACCGAGCGAGCCATGGCACATGTCGGCTCACAGCAAGTGTTAGTCGTGGGCGGCGTGGGCTCGAACATGCGCTTACAGCAAATGATGGGCATGATGGCAAGAGACAGGGGTGGGAATGTGTTTGCGACAGACGAGATGTTCTGCATTGACAACGGCATCATGATTGCTCACGCTGGCTTATTAGAGTATGGAACTGGAGTGAGGACGGAGTTGAACGACACGACATGTACCCAGCGGTTCCGAACTGACGAGGTGTTTGTGGGCTGGAGAACTGACTGAGGCGCGCTTTGCTCCGATTCGATACCCCGGCTGACATCGCCTTGCCGTTTTCTTCATATGTACACATACGAATTCACTGGATCTGACACGAAAGGCATTTGAGCACGGTCCATCACAGTGAAGCGAGTGCTCGTGGCCCCGTGCCTTTCTCGCAACCAAACGCTGCATGTGATCTCTTGGCAATGCTCTGCTCCAATACATCACTTACACTACAGCCGCTGCGTTTTGCTCCCACCACCCAAGCGCTGGGCTCAACTCTTTGGCAAAGACCGGAGTTACCAGTGCACACCTCCGCCAACATGCTCGCGCTATCAAAGAGCGTTCTAAACCAGGAATCACAAACACAGCTGATTACCAGCAACATGCGCGCCGCTCAGTCACGCAGCTTGAGCGCCTCCAAGCCATTGGCTACCACTTCGCCTTCTTCACATTCTATTGCGACCAAGATCTTTATGCAAGCTCACCCTTTCCGTCCCGTAAGTCGCAACCCGTCGGGTCGTGATCACCATACGTAACTCATGCTGATTCATGTTAGGATGAACGAAGCTCGATATCGAAAGCGTTCCATCAGATACGGCAGCTTCAACAGAAGAACGAGGCACTCGCACGTGAACGCGCCGCACTTCAAGGTTATGTCGTTCAACTCGAGGGTCGGCCGACAACTCAGCAACACGATGATATTGCCGCAGCGCACGCGCTTGTTAAAGAGCACGTTAACGTTCTGGTCGCGAAGGGGAATGCATTATCTGGCACATGTAACCTCCAGAAAGCCATCATCGCCGCCAAAGACCGCGAGATCACCGAACTTCTACATGATCAGGAACGAGACAGGAGCGCTCTTGATACTTTACGCGGAAAGCGCCGAGCAGACCGAAAGGCCATAGACGAATGGTCTTGTCGTATCGCCGACCTAGAGGGGACATGCAACGAGCAGGCGAGCACTATTGCTATTCTTCGCAAGGAAAGTAGTGGTTCGAAAGCCAAAGTACACGGCTTATCCGAATTCGTCTCCAAGAAGGATGAGGAGCTAGCTCGGCTGAAGCTAGCTCTAGACGCAGCCGCTGCCATCCATGGAAACCATAACGCCCTACCCGAAGGAAGCGACTCAGTTGCTTGCAATTGCAAAGCCAACTTGGTGAAGCAAAACAGTACATATCGAAAGCTTTCCGACCATTTTGCGGAGAAAAGCAAGCTCTGGGAAAATACCGAGGAGAACATCAAGCGTGCAGCCCTCATCGCTCAAGCGGAAACTCGTAACAACCACGCAAACTGGGTGCAGATCTTGCAAGAGAAGGATGCCACCATCGCTGATCTAGGGACTACACTAGAGGCCGCAATGGCCAAAGGCGACCTAGCCAAGCATACCCAGCACGCCATTAAGACGCATCAAGCCTTGCGTAAGAAGAACGCAGCATTGAGCAAAGAGAACAAGAACCTCAAGACGGATGTGCAGAATCTGCTCGATACCAATCAGTCGAATGCAGATCGACTGACCGCGTACTTGAAGAAGCTTGAGACGCTGCAGGCCGAACGCACAGATGCGGTCGATCAAGTCTCCCATCTGAACGATAAACTGACGAAGTGCAATAAATACGCTTCGGATTTGCAGAAGTTCATCGCTGCTGCAGCTGCCAAGGCGAACCAGGGCGATATCTCCAACCCCACAGACTGCGTTCCACGAGCCACTGTTAACGGCATCGTGGCAGAGGCCATAGCGGAGTATTACACGCAGGCAAAACAACTTCGCGCTGAGCTTCAGCAGGAACAAGAGACACGTCGACACATTCAAGCCAAATTGGACCAGTGTGACAAGGATCTCTTCACACACCAGACCGAGGAGCAAGATCGCTTAGCCAAGGTAGCTGGGCTTGAGCGCAAAGTGCAGTCACTGAAAGCACAAGAGAAGCTTCTCGAAGACCAAATCCAGAGCTGTCATGCCTTGGTCAGCGCTACAAACACCACCAGCAGCTCACATGCTTTCGAAATGCATCGCCTGATCCTCAACCAGATTCACCCACTCCAAACAGATAACAGGAAACTCATCGCCGAGAAGTACGAACTCCTGAAAGATGTCGATGGGTATAAGCGTGAGGCACTCGATACGCGCGCAAAGTGCGAACGCAGGATCGACAACTACCGAGCATGGTATAAAGACTTCGAGATGCATTACTGGCACGTCGCAGTTATCGAGCGCGATAGCCTGCACGAGGAACTTGCGTATTGGAAGAAGAAGTGTGGCAAAGAACACTTTTACTGCTCCACGGCTTCAAGCCGCTTAGTCCACGACAGGCGTTTGCTACAGTTTGCGCTACGGGAAGACCACGGCCTCACCAAGAGCATGCTTCCCAAGGAGTACTTCGATCCAGACTTCCTCAAGGGCTGCCACTCAGCAGTTGAGCTGGCTTTGCGCAAGCTCTGGCCGGACTTCTGGCAGTACTTGGAGGGACATGCCGCGTGGGTGCCTCTCACGGTTCCCCTTCTCACAGGCGAGGGTGAGATCGTCATGGATGAGGCTACTCGTGCGGCGTCGAATGCGCGGCTGGCGGAGTTCAAGAAGGAACTTAAGGCGCTCGACGAAAAGCTCGAAGAGGCGCATCGCAAGATGTTTGACATTGACGATGGGTCGGACAGCGACGAGGAAGAGAAGGCCGATGAAAACGATGATTCCGACGGTAGCAAAGACTACATCGGCACGCCTTCCAATACCCCAGGCTCACACGACACAGGTGATACGTCACCGCCTTCTAGCAAGCACAGATCTCATGAGCGAGAAGACCCGAACGATAGCACGAAGGCTGACGACTGCCATCCTGATGATGGCCAAAATCCAACAGCGATCAGAGAGGAAGAGGCGCGGGAGTTTGATGAGCTACCTGCATTTGCAAAGACGATGCTTGCGCGCATCAGCGCACACGAAGCCGAGAATGAGAAGCTTGCCGGTTATGTCGCTGATGAAGACATCGATCAAGACGCGTTCCTAGCGCAGTATGGTCAGGGTATTACGGGTAAGCCATGTTGCCGGATGAGTCAATCGAGTGGCGTTACTAACATATCAGCAGGTTCTCAAAACAGCAATCTACCTAACCCGACCGAATCTATCCAAGTCGCTGCGCCCGTCGAAGAAATCAGCATCGACCGCCTGGACGTGAATGGTGAGGACGGGCGTACTCTTGAGCAACGAGTCGCTGAGGAATACGTGGAGGGTGAGCATAACACGTTTTCTGAAGAGGAGTATGATGACTTTGATGATGGGATGAAGAAGAAGTATCGCGAGGCTATGGTGGAAGCTGTGGTCGAGGGTCTGTAATGAGGGATGAAGACGCTGTTGATGGGTCCGTTGGAGCTCGGCGTGGCTTTTACGGTGTATAGGCATTAGTTTGCTTGTGAAGGGATGGAAGCAGGCTTTGGTAAGGTAGACTGGTATCGGTATCGACCTGTCGGGGTTATATGATAGTCTGCAGCATGATAATAGTTATTAATAGCAATGCGGATAGTCGGACGGCTGAGGCTGACGATCGACACTGTTCATGAAGCTTGCGTACTAGTACTGCGGGCCGTACATTAGCATCACGCTATCATCCAAGCTACATCGATCTAGCCACAAAAAGAGATGGTCGCATGTGACGTTGCTGCACGCCTGAACCACATCGGAGATAAATAACTGCGTGTAGCCACAGTCGGGACTTCTAACTCTACATTGAACTACCAACATGAAGGCGTCGTCGTCAATGCTAATATGGTACTTCGCCGCGACCGCAGCTGCAGCTTCAAATCTAAGCAGCGCGCCGGACTCAGGATGTGGGAAGCCAATCCCCGAGGGCATCGAGCTCGACAAGTCCGTCGATCTGACATTGGAGAGTGAAAGCGGTGTTTCTCCTCGCAAATATCGTCTACACATTCCGCCCTCGTACGACGACAACAACCCCGTCCCACTCATCCTCTCCTTCCACGGTCGCGGCAAGACTGCAAAGTACCAAGAGGCGCTCAGCCAATTCTCAAATGCCAGCTATGGCTTCGAAGGCATCGTCGCGTATCCCGAAGGCGTACCGGTACCGCCTCCCCATCCCTAGATGCGTGGTAGAAGTATGCTAACACACATGCCCAGAACGCGAAAGGCACGCAGCAATACGAGGGCGACCCCGACTCACCACCCTCCATCTCCGACGTAACATCCACGCTCGAACTCCTCGACCACCTCCAATCAACCTACTGCATCGACCCCACCCGCATCTACGCAACCGGAAAGTCCAACGGCGGAGGCTTCACCGGCGGCGTGCTAGCCTGCGACACCGAAGCAAGCAGTCGAATCGCTGCGTTCGCGCCTGTATCCGGCGCTTTCTACCTCGATGCAGACCAGCAGCCCCTACCCTGTAACCCCAGCCGCCAAGTCCCCATCATGGAGTTTCACGGTCTGGAGGACACGACGATACCATACGCCGGCGGCATCAACACTCGTGGCAACGCAAACTCAACTGACGTTCCTATGTGGGTGAGGGATTGGGTCGAGCGGGACGACCTTGACGTTAACGCGAACAAAACGTCGTATCTCTGTGAGGGGGAGGAAGGGAAGAAGGTTACGCGGTATAGCTGGGACGACGTGGTTGTGCATTACAAGTATGAGAACTTGGGCCATGATTGGCCGAGTTCGTTTGCGAATGGCGATACGGGGGATGATGAGGGGGTTTTGACGTGTCGAGAGGCGGAGGCGACGAGGATTATTTTGGAGTGGTTTGGGGGGTTGGCGCTGTAGATGGGGCGCGTTGTTTGAGGAAAAGATTGGATAGGTGTGCAGCCTACATTCGGACAAAAAGATGCAAAGTAAGTGATCTGACGTTAACGTAGGTTCTAGCGTGTTCAGACTATCTCTTGCATAAGGTGGGAGGCTGCTGGGTGGCAGACGGCGGGGAGAAGTTCGGACGGCGCGTGGTAATTCTCCAGGCACCCGCAATCTACGGTTTGTAGAACTTGCCTAATTTGGACTGCGCGCGCTGGTGCGGCCGATGACGTCATCAGCTGACACCATCACCGAGGAACATCCCGTCTTCATTTTGTCTCATCTCATCTCCTATACACGTCCTCCCTTCTGCGCATTCCTCAATTAACCTTTCGCATCAAAATTATAGTCAGCTTGTGATGCAAAGTACGCGATACGCACTCTCGCAGTTGGATGTCCTGGCTGATTTCCACAATGTTGTCGCGACCGCGTCACGACAGCTTTCGCACCATTATATTCACTGATATCGCGTCGCCATCGATGCACAGACGGAACCTCCTATGGGCTGATGTTCAGTCCATTACGCGGCTCTCCTTGTAGGTACTGAGGACGCATGGGAGCGGTGGGCTCGAATTGCCCCCTCCGCAGGCAGCTGCCTCACACGTGCAGCGCGATATGAGAGTTAAACATGCGGCGAATGGCCCATCTTTTGCTTGCAACTGTCTTTTAATGTCTTTTAATCACTCCAATGATTCCGTCAAACCATGGTCCTCGGAGCTCGAAATTCTCAGCTCTCTCAGATTTGCATGTTGGGTGCCTACGCGTACCTTCCAATCTTCTGCGCCGTTCCCGTGTTTACTTCCCCGACTACTCTCACAGCGGACTTCCACCTGCGCTCGCTTGATGCAACATCAACCAGTCTGATTTCAACGGCGACGGCTTACCCTCATTCGCTTTTACGCTGACTTTCACACCGCTTCAATCGAGAGCCCCGCGCCCGGCAGTTGCCATGACCTACCACTCAGCCTACCGCGGCATTGCGACGGATGCCAACGGCGAATTTGACCACTTTGTGCGGACAATCGACCCATCACATTTGGAAGGCGGGTATTGGAGGTTCCAGTCTATCGACGATGACCGGCGCGCAATGGCCCGCGGCTTCACAACGCCTGAGCAAGTTCTTCAAGCTGCCGACTCCAGCGAGGATAGGTTCGACGAGATCATTCTAAGATGGGTGAGGGGCGCAAACGATGTAAGCTTCAAGATGGCGATGTCGGGTACGGCGCTTGAGCATCTCCAAACCATCTACGAACTGCGCTCGATGCTTCATCTGCCTATGTCGTCCCGAGGGCAAGTTCCGATATACCCCATCAGCACCAACCCGCGACTTAAGCAGTACTGGGAGGCGAAATACAGAGCCCAACGGCCCACCCCGATCGATCCTGCAATTCAGCTACCGGAACGTCCCATCTCATCTCCAGTAACGCCGGGACCTGTATACTCGACTTCATCGCAAGCTCAGCATGCAGAACCAGCGACACTGAAGTCACCCGTTGGCAGAGTCACCAGAGCACGCAGCGCGAAGCTATCACAAGCAGCGCCACCGAAACCTGCAGTCAAGACCAAAACCGCCAGACCAAGACCCAGTGCTTCCACAGCGCCTACAGCCCAGTCTTCGTCCGCAGCTCCATCATTAGAGAAGACCAAGGTTTCACTTCCTCCTGCCAAAGCGACAAATCAACAGCAGGTTCCCTCCCAAAGTTTCGCAACGCAGCCGTTGACGTCCGCTCAAACCGGTCCGTCTATCAGCGGGAACGTGCCTACGATACCGCGAGCGGCGTTGGAATGGGGATTACAGCCGTCACCGAGACAAGCAACACCAAATCCCAGCAATGGAGTTTCGCAACATAACTGGGTCCACCCGTCCGCTCGCGTATCTGCTGTACCATACTCTCCTTACGCAGCCCCTCCGCAACAGCAAGTCCAGTCCAAGAGCTCTGCAGACCCTTTGCCGAATACTACTGCCTCGATTTCAGGAGCTTCTAATACTTCGAACATACCAATCCGATCTCCGACGAGCGGAAGACAAGATAACCGTTTTGCGGAAACATATCCTGGGTACGTGACACTGAGGGGGGGAGGCGATGATCGAAGGGATGGTCGCAATGCAGGTTCCTCCACCAACAAAGGACACAGACCGATCGCCGCTCCGACAACACCATCCGCTTTCGGTGACGATGATAGCATCATCGGCGTATCAACAAGCCCGCACGCGCTCCACAATGCTTCCTCAAAGATCCCTTCAAAGGGCTCGCAAGAGGTCTCGTTCGATGACCGTTCGAGCCCTCTACAGTTACCAGCAAGCTCCCCAGCGCATTATACCGAAGGTACGAATATCGAAGAGCCAATCGTGGCCGCTGGAGCGTGCGACACGGCAACCAATGGGCAGGCTTATGCTTCTCGGGCGAGACAACAGCCGTCAACCAATGACCTCCGGTCGCTCAGCACCTCAGACGCATCTAAACTGGGTACTAAAGCCGTAGCCGTAGCGGAGAAGCCGTTAGAGACTATTCCCGAACCCTGGGGCAGTTACATGAAAGGCCTTGAACAGCTTCCATGTGTAGATTGCGGAGAAGATGAAGGACACCTGCTGGACTGCAACCTTGGTAGTAAGTACCATAACAGCAACTCTTCAACACGTCACTAACATTGCCTAGACATTATACCTATGCAGAACCTCACCGTCCTCGACTATCGCACCCTTGCCGACGCTGTCGAGCAATTCGATCCTGGCCCATGGACAACCCACTTCGTCCCTCCTGAACCCGAACCTGAAGACGCGGCGACACAAATGAGAGGCATGGCTGCGGTCATACGGAATGAGGATAGCTACAAAGAGGATGTCGAGCTTCACGGACTACCTGATGACCTCATGATGATGTTATGGGCTTTCAAGACTTCGGAAAATGTTCAGGTTATCAATGAGTACGTGGACAACTGCTCAATACTATCGTTATATTTTGACACTGACTTCCGTTCTAGGGATGATTGGGATTCCGGCATCGGCGAGTTCGATATGTGGTGATTGAGATGTGTTGTCATACTCGCATGAGTACAAATCCAGATTGGGGATCATGAAGCAGTAGTTTTGAGGCGAATTGGTTGTCCTGGACTGTAAGTGATGTCGCAGGAAGTGGGACGTGTTGTCGTGAAGAGTGTCACTTTTGCTACTTTCCGACGCGAGAGACCGTCTCATTTACTCGAAAAGCACCATGGGGGTGGGAACTAGAAAAGCCATAAAATGTCTGTATTCCTTTTTTCACCTTCTCAGAATTCTTGGATTTTGCGGTTTAGTCGACGTCGCAACTAGCGGTTGAAGGATCAAAGCCCCGCATCGTGTACCTCGGCAGCCCATCCTGGCCCGCCACGGACGAATCACGACAACAAACACCAGTCAGTTTTCGTGCAACCCTTGCTCTGTATACGTTACCGCTTCAACCGTGAGTTCTCGTCCGTGACATTCGTTGTAGCCTAAAACCCAATGTTATTTCTAGAACTATTTCTGTCATTTTGACACCGACCTCGATTCTGCAGCCTGCGGTCCCTACGCAACGTGTAAGCCAGAACGATACATATCGGAGCAAAATTTACCGCGTCCATTACTGCATGAGATTACTATAATCTCCATCACAACCATGGCCGATTTCGAAACTATCATCAAGGACGCCATTGCAGCGCAAGAAATCCCCGGATGTGCTCTAGCGGCCACAAGTCGTGATGGTACGCAACACATCTTCCCATTACGATATCCTACCCCCAGTACTAACAACCACCAGGCACCTTCACATACTCCAAAGCCTTCGGCCACACCTCAATGAACCCCAGCACAGCCAAACCCATGGACCTCGACACCATAATGTGGGTCGCATCCTGCACCAAACTCATGACTGCCCTCTGCGCCATGCAACTCGTAGAACGCGGTCACATCACCCTAGACGAACCTGTCTACAGCCATATCCCAGAACTGGAAGTATTGAACGTTCTCACCGGGTTCACCGACGCCGGAGTTCCTATTGAGGAAAAGCACACAAAGCCTATTACTCTGAAGCTACTGCTGACGCACTCGAGCGGCCTGACGTACGAGGGCATGCATCCGAAAACGCTAGCCTGGCTGAAGCACCATGGAAAGAAAATGAATGCCTCGCCAACGGTTGTGCAGCGCTTCAATGCGCCACTTGTGTTCCAGCCGGGCGAGAGCTGGGCGTACGGTCCTGGTGTTGATTACGCCGGTTTACTCGTCGAGCGTATCTCCGGTCTCACACTAGAAGAGTACATGAAGAAGAACCTTTGGGGTCCGCTTGGCATCACCGACGTTACGTTCTTCCCCTCCACGCGCCCGGATTTACAGGAGAGGATGGCGGAGATGTCGGGGCGGGGTGAGGATGGGAAATTAAGTGTTCATGAGGGGACGATGCCGTATGTGGATGAGAAGGGCGAGGAGGTGACGGGTTGTATGGGTGGACAGGGGAGCTTTACGTGCGCGAAAGAGTATATCAAGGTGTTGAAGGGGGTGTTGGATTGTGATGAGGGAGGTGAGGGGAGGGTGTTGAGTAAAGAGAGTTTGGAAGTGTTTTTTAAGCCGCAGTTGGGTGAGGGGAGTCGCGCGATGTTAAATGCTATGTTGCAGGATGATGCGGTAAGTCGATCTTTTGCTGTGCTATCGCAGGATGGTTCGGCTAACGTAATCACAGACGAACAACGCAATGGGCGGTACACACAAACACGTAGCCAAAGACTACGCTCTCGGCGGCCTGATCATGATGGACGACGCGCCCGATGGCAAGAAGGCAGGGACGATGCTCTGGGGCGGCTATCCCAATCTCATCTGGTGGATTGACCGTAAGACTGGACTTGCTGGCGTGTACGCCGGGCAGGTTGTACCGCCTGGAGACCTGATTTGCGGGCGCTTGATGAGGAAGTGGGAGGAAGGCTGTTATGGGTTGTTTGAGAAGCATAGAGAAAGTAAGTCGAAGCTTTGAATGTGCTGGTGCAAGGGCACGAGAGGCAAGGTGGATATGCTGACTTGTGAGAAGAGGTGTAGACGCGAAGATGTGAAAAGGTCGGGGCAGATGTTACGGTCACGCGGTGCAGAAGGGAAGAGACTATGGGTTTAATGGGTATATTCTTCTATCAATGCCCTTGCTCATGCTCATCCGATGCTCAGCGGTGATGCGATGTGAGCGTTCCGTAATCATATCCATCTCCATGCAACTCCATGTCCATCTCAAACCCAGTAGCACCATCAAGGTCCATACTGACCTAACACCCAATGAGTCCGTCATTCCAAGCCAGTAAGCTCTTCGCAACCGCGCCATCAAGGCAACAAAAGAAAGAAAAGTAGATATATGACCCGATACCATCCAACGCCGACTACAGAAAGCATCTAGCGACGACGACCAGCAGCCTGAAGCTCAGCATTGCGCTTGAGAGCCTCCATCTGACGAAGACGACCATAGTCGCTAGCGGGAGTGGGGGTCTGACCGATACCGCGACGGGCATTGAGCATGGCGGCGGCGTCGGAGAAATCGGTGTTGTTGGTGACAGGAGAGACGGACTGAACTGCTGGAGCCGGGTCACCGATGACGCCGTTGCCACAAGGACCGCCGAGACCGCGACCTGAGTTGAAACCTTGATGGGCTGGATGAGACACATCGCCGAGGTTGAACTCGAACTCTGGCATGTCGAGCGTGAAATCGGGGATGTCGAACTGGAAGTCGGAGGCGAAAGAGGAGGTGTCTTTGTTGAGGCAGTAGTCCATGTTGACGGCGTCGTTGCCCAATGACTGGTATGTGTTGTTGATGTCGACGTTGTTGGTGCCGACGTTGTTGATGTCGAAGTTGTTGATGTCGACGTTGTTGACGTTGGAGTTGGACATGGGAGAACTGGTGGTAGACATCTGCGCCTTCTGAGCTGCCATGAGAGCGCGGTACTTGGCGGCGTCCTCGGCGTCAGAGTCGCGGGTGGTGATAGCAGTAGCCGGGCTGCTGAGGAATGCAGTGGGGCTTGAAGGTGTGATGGTGAGGCTGTTACGCTGTGTCTCTGGAGAAGAGGTAGAGGTGCCCATGAGCTTTGCGCCGCTGTCGCCGGTGCCGAAGACGTCCTCGCCGATCATCTCGAAGTCAGGAGGGGGAAGTAGGGCGCCAGGCTCGCCGATCTTGATACCGGTGCTGGGATCGATGCCTTGGAGAAGAGGAAGGAGAAGACGGCCTTTCTCTTCTTGACTGAGCTGAGACCAAGGGAGGTGGTAGAGCTCTCCAACACAGCGAACGGGTCCGGAGGGTGCAGAGACGGTGCGCTTGTGAGCCTTCGCAGGCTTCTTGGGCTTGGTGACCTTGGCGGCCTTCTCCTTGGGAGCCTTTGGAGCTCTGGGCTTGGGCGGAGCTTTCACCTTGACAACCTTGGGCTTGGGAGGAGCCTTGGGCTTGGTCTCGCGAGGTTTGGCGGGGGCCTTGGTCTTCTTGGCCGGGGTTACCGGCGGAGCTGGGTTCATGAGAGGCGCCCACATCGCCTCAATAGGCCCTGGAGCGGCAGGCAAAGAGGAGGCGGCGAGGTTCTCAGTGGCCCTGCGGAGAGCACACGTCGACGAGTCAGCATCTTGTATATGCCTGACCTCACCCAGGAAGTCACCGCCAGCAGGCCCAAACGACATATCGGCGGCAAACTCCCCAGCGTTGAAGCCGTAGTCGAAGTTGAGAGCGACGTCGTCGCCAGAGGTCTCGACGGACGGCAGAGGGATGTCCTTGAGGAAGTCGTCGTTGCAGAACGCGCTGAAGTCGAAGTCCATATTGTTGGACATGATGAATACGTAGGGTTGAAAGAAGTGAGAATGTAGTCGCTGAGAAGCTTGAAGACAATCACGAAGTAAAGTGTAGGATAGTGTAAGAGAGACGAATAGAAATTGATTTTGACAGCCACAAGGTGAGCTCTGTGGGAGAAAGGCTCGGCGTCGTTATCTAAGCAATAGAGGAGGCTGGTTAGAGAGTCTGTGAGCATGAAGGTAGATAAATACCGCACCTTTTCCTGCATCTTCTGCGGTGCAGGTGGTGGTGGTGGATACTTTAGTTACCCGATTCGGCGTCGCATACTGAGGCGGCGGCAGGCTATTGGTCCAGCCTCTTGGGGAACTGGCGTTCTCGCCGGGATCTGTCGTCGATTTGCGGAGGTTCGGGGGTTGGGGTCGAAAAGTTGTGTTTCAGGTCTCCTTCACTTTTTGCGCAGCAGCGCCTGACTGGCTCGGTAAAGGCTCAATAACGCGACAATAGCAAGAAAGACGAGAGAGAAGGCAGCAGATAGTTCTTGTGCGACTGGAGACGTCATATCGATTCAGGACGTTGTTTGATGTGACGGCCGCGTTGGGGTGGGAAGGTGAAGGGGCGCCGATGGATGAACAGATGGCGAGCGCGATATCCCAACACAACATATTGGCTAGAGACGTTGAGACACTGAGCTTGATAGCATGTAACAGATTGTGTGGGTGGTACCTTTGGATGCCTTTGAGCAACTTGTGCGTCATCGCGTCTCAGTGAGCCAGGCCGGCGCTGATACACGCGAGGGCAGCATCCCGCATAGGCGTCGTGAGAGCCTCGGCGCTGCGACCAAAGGCCTCCCAATGCGTTGACGTTGAGTAAGACAGCCATTAGTATGATTTGTGTTATATGTTTGCATTGATGGTGCCTTCTCCGTACTTCGGACACTGCTAGTGGGACCGTTTGGTGAGAGCCGTGGCGATGACGTCACTGATCACGACACCCGGACACCGGGCGCGAAACTCGACCGCGGCTCTGAGATGACTTAGTTAGCTTCCATCGTCCACATGCTAATTGCGAAAGAGAAAACATCGCGGGTAACGATGGATGCGGTCGTGTCGACGTACAAACCTTGCGAATTGCGTGTGCGTGGTGGTTTGCGCGGGCTGTTGCCGACTTATATAACAGAAGCACCCGCCGAGGATGAGAGAAGCTACTGAACAGCCATATATTCACAACGTTAATTGGTATATAAGAATGACAATAGCTACCGAAGATGGAGTGACGTTGGCTTGTCAAACGCCAATCATGCGTGTCATCCTGCAGATTGCTGGGCGCGCCGCGAAGGATCTAGCGCGAACATGAACGGAACCCAAATGCCACCTCGCATGTCATCCTTCCTGCATCATCGCATCTCTCTTTCCATCTCCTCCGGCGCCCGCGCATCTCACTCATTGAGCATCTTCGACCCTTACTCGTCCTCTGCCCGTGTGCACTTTACTCTCACGATGGGGTAGTCTCATTTAGGAATTACAGACTGATTGTCGCGCCTGCCACCTTCCTTGGCCTGCATGGCCAGCAGACCAGCACGGCCTCGTCTTCCATTGTCGCCACACGATGATGCGACCGTTGATCTTCAGCTTCTTTATCGCATTGTACCACTAGGCGCTTAGTCGTCTCCAATCCTGAGGTATTCCGTGGCCCAGTGGCTCCTGACCTCCTCGTCCATGCCCTCCCACGCTTCACGCGTCATCCTTCCATCAATCTGCTGCCACGACGATTGATATTCTGGTATCTGCGATACTTCGACGAGGCGGCTCCGCGCAACCCGGCGTACCACTTGACGTTTCGCCTTCCGTGCCTGCGTTGGGATTGACGTTCGGTCGTCGCGTTCGGGGGTGATGGGACTGTGCGTTCGTCTGCTCGATGCGCGCGTCAGCAACGGCGTCCTTGAATCCGACGCATTGTCCGGTACATTGTTGTGAGCATCGGACGTGGTGGCGAAGTCGGCGTTCCGTGGCGCGTACGTGTTGCTCACTGAGGATCGCGCAGAGCCAGCGCTACCCTGACTCGCGTTGTGATCGCCAGCCTCAATGCGCATCGCAGCCTGCTCCTCGAAGAGTGGCGCTACCATCTTTGACAACCACACTTTACCCGCAATGTAGATGGGGTACCATCCCTGTGGTCTCAGTGCTTTCAACGCGGCTTCAGTAGGCGACAAACACACTCCGGACGTAGAGTCGTAGTAGGTCGCAGAGATCAGCTCCGGCGGAACACCCTGAAGCCCATGTGCCATAGCAAATGCCAGCGTCTTCCGATCATGGACCTCGGGGTTGGCGGACGGAGCCGGCTCGACGAAATGTTGCTCACCCTTCTCCGCTTTGAGGGCGGCGATCTCGTTGTGCAAGCGCTCGGTCGTTAGGACGGCTTCGTTGAAGAAGAGGTGGTACCAATAATTTACGTCGCTGTTCGCGATCATAACGTCGCTCTCGCACTTATCGACGATGGTCTTGCTCCACTGCTCGATCTCCTGGAGTTTATCCTGTAGCTGCGCGTTTGTGTCGATGAGGCTCTGGCTTGTTGCGGCGGTCCCGCTCACCAGATTCAGCAGCTCGCACTGGTCTTGCTCACCGAGAGCACCTAGACGGCTTTTGGCTACCTTGCGGAGCATGTTCAGCTCGTGCATCATCGCTTCTGTGCTTTTGCCAAGCTTGCTATGGGACTTCTCCTCCTCAATAAGCTTGGCTTCTAAGACGTCATGTTCGATGGAGACTTTGAGGTGATCGCTGTCAAGCTTATCAAGCTTGGCTTGCACATCCAACTTCTCGTCACGCTCGGCTTGGAGAGAGTTGCGCAGTTGCTCATTTTCGAGATCGATCGCATCGAGAGCTGCACAATGAGCGCCGGGTACAACATTGCCATGCTGTACTTGTTCGAGTTGTTTGGCCAAGTCCCGGATTTGGTCCTTCTTCAGCGCCAGTTTGTCATCGAGCAGATGTACATTCTTCTGGGAGCGGTTCAACTCCGCCCGCATGTCCTGTTCGGCCTCTCGGTGTCGCGTGACGTTCGTCTCGGTATTTTGGATTGTATCGAGCAGGTTTTCGTCGTGCGTCCTCAATCGCTGCACTTCCGCCCGAAGATCCGCTGCTTCTTCTTTACCAGCAACATCTGCCTCCAACACACGCCGAAGCTCACTTCCGGTTGGGAACTTCTGGAGTAGCATCTGCGACATGGTTTCGTGCTCTTTCTCGAACTGCTGGTTTCGAGCCTTGAGGCTGATGATGGTCTCCTCTTGCTGAGACATGGCGTCGTAGTATTCAGCTACTATACGACTGTTCTTCATCTCCAATACTTCGTTCTTGCTTTTCAGATCGTCAATCTTGACCCTGTTTGTCTTGAGAATCTTCCTCTTCTCAAGATTGGCCTTCCTCTTTATGTCTTCACGCTCAGCGGTCACCTTTTCGACCGTCTTCTGGAACGTGGAATCTTTCCGCAGGCATTCTTGGTGCCACTTCTCGGTTTCTTCACGCTGGTCTGCGATGGCCAGGTCGTGATCTGCCTTCAACGTCGCCGTTTCCAGATCCTTGGCCTTGATCTCCGCTTGGTGCTTCTCAGTCGCCTCAACGAAACGGTCCTGCAGGTCTCTGTTCGTCTCTTCAAGCTGTTGGCAATAGGCTTCCATGTCGGCGACTTCCTGGGACCATTCATCTACCAATCGCTTGTCGTTCAGGCGCTGCTCCCGCTGCTCGGCGTACTTCTGCTTGAGGGCTTGGTATTGAGCGTCTTTTGCGTCGCGGAGATCGTCTTGTAAATTCCCATACCGCCCGCCAGTGACCATCAATGCCTGACAAAGCTTCCGTGCGGTCTTGCCATCGTCGCTACCAGAGTGCGAAGTACGATCAGTGTCGGGGCTCGCGCCGCATTCGTCGTCGCTGTCCGGCCCAGAACTCGACTTTGCGCTGCCGCTGGGGGAGCTGGTTGTCGAATTCGAGGATGCTGCCATATCGTGTGCAAGTCGTGCCTTCCGCCAGGTGTCTTCGGTTGCGGCGTTGATGCATAGCGCAATGTTCTTGCTCAGCGCAATGTCCTTCTATGTCTCGTTAGTCTTATTGCTCGTTTGTGTTTGCGTCAGGACATACGTGGAACGAAGCGTCCGTCTCAGTCGAACGCGCACTGAGCAGTGTCTTGATCTTAGTCAGCCTCTTCTGGTACACAGTGTTCACCACGTCACCATCGATGCGCGCGACTTCGGACAATGACCGGGTGCGCATCATCTTCTCGCGGCTGGCCTCGGCCGGAATAGCGGGTTGCTGTTGGGTCTCCATGTCGGGCGCGCCCATGTTGGTGGTGGTCGAGCTGCTTGCGGAAGCGATCTCTTTGGTGGTCGGCGCGCTCAACATGGCGAGTTCAGGTGTGGCCAGGGGAAGGAGAGTGATTGAGTGGGGGTCTACGCCAGAGTTGAGTGAGCCTGCTGGTTTATGCGATGGATAGAGCAGACCTGGAAAGAGAAAGGAGAGTTGCTATGGTCATTCACGCGTTGCGCAGCGCACATGACGTAGGCGTACGACTATCGCAAGATTCACTGAGTTGTTACACTTTGGGTCAAAACACGCTGACAAGACCTGATAGGGCCAGTCACGGGGTGCATTATATGACAGTAAGGAGTATCTGCACAGCAGACTACTTGGACGTCACTGTGAAGAGACTGGACTCCACACGGTCGTATCGCTGTTTCGACCATATACTTTACATGTCAAGATTCGTGCGACCCTCCACTGCCAGCTCGCGATTGTATGTCGCTGAGAAGACTGATGTTACTATGCCAGCGGCGCTCACGAGAGTCCTACATCCCATCATGATTCCACGGCTCTTTTTGGAAGGGTTCATTACTTTAGCGACCACAAACGTTTGTACGTCAAGAGCATCATCTGAAGTCTGGCGGATGCGAACAATGCCTGAGACCTGTTGTCTTCATTTGGATGTGACAATGTGTCCACTGCCAGACTGTCTTTGTCTTTGTCTGAGCGAGACTGAATAGAGGTATACATCGACGCAAGCTCATACATTAATTTCTCTATCGTCAGGATTACACAAATGCTTCAATAGTCCCGAAGCGGCTCATGTGAAGGTTGCGGTATCATTTCTAGATGCCATGTATCTTAATGTAGGCTGCAGACCTGTTCGGCTTCTTCCATGTATGAGATAGAGGCTCTGGAAATCATCGTGATCAGCTTCGTTGAAGACCCAACCAACCATATCAAAACTCATCTTGAGCGCTGCTGAAAAGCCACGACGGATGGAAAGAAACTGCGGGACCAAGCGCGGAAGTCAGAAGAAGACAAGTGTGCGAGAATACGAAGACACGGCGAACGCTGTACGCAGCCCCGACGTCCGTGATTCAGTCCCCGGTGGCGCTAGTCCCAATGCCGCCTAGCACATCCCTTTTGACAGTCGCGACTCCAGTAATCTCTCCTCGCTAGTGACGAAGACGTTACACCAGCAAGCCCTCCCTAACAGCAATGATACAGGTGTCCACACGCAGGTTGTTACTCGCGGCTCATATCGATCGGTTTTGATGATGCCTGAATGTCATGACGTCGTGTTTCTGCGGCTGATGGGCGCCGCCTTGGCAACGCCGGAGGCCTTGACGTCCGGGGCGCGAGACGCCCGTGGACGCGACGCTATAGACACGCTCTAGGCTTGCTTATCTCATGCAACATACAACACGTCCTGCCTGCTGCGTTGATGCGCGTATGTTGCTCGCACTTTGTCAACGATGATGGACACCCGTGACGCGCCGTCGGTGACTACTCATAGCTCGAACACCATGCAGGAGACAGCAGATCGACCACCTGTCGCGATCGATGTTTCTGGCAACGCAGACCCAGAAAAGCAAGTCGATGTTGAGGATGGGAAGTCAAGCAACGGATCCAACGAGAAAGAGACGAAAGATGAGAAAGAGGGCAGCCTGAAGGACTATTTTGTAAGTCAAACATCAGTACAGACACAATGAAAACAGGCTAATGTCTTTGCTCGCAGCGTATCTTTACATATGCCAGCACAGCCGATCGCATACTGTTTGGTCTTGGACTCACAGGTGCCGTCGTCGTTGGTGCCGCGCTCCCCTTGATGACTCTTGTCTTTGGACAGTCCACAGCCGAGTTCAATCAACAAGCGACCGGCCAAGATAGCTCGAACTTTACCAGCAACATCGACAACTTGGTACTCTATTTTGTTTACCTCTTTGTCGCTCGCTTCGTTATTGGGTATTTGGGCACTCTGTGCATCTGCATCGCGGCAGCAAGGACGACATGCGCGTTGCGAGAGGACTTTCTGGACAAGTTGCTCCGTCAAGATGTGGCGCTTTTCGACAAAGATGGCAGCGGATCTGCCGCGACTCAGGTGACTACCAGTGAGCAGCCTACCTCAAGTACCCAGGTACACAATGCTGACACCGCGGCCTAGATGGCAACAGGATCAATCAAGGCACCGCGGAAAAGCTATTCACATGCGTCCAAGGCATCTCACTCTTCTTCTCCGGCTTCATCGTGGCAATCGCTGTTCAATGGAAGCTTGCTCTTATTGTGATGAGCATCATACCTGCCATCTTTCTCATCACCGGTGTGTGTATCGGCATGGATGCGCCCATCGAAGCTAGAGTGGTCAGTACCAGTGCCTACATGTCTCGTTGTACTGAACTAACAACTTGCATCAGACCAAGATCTATTCACAAGCTGGCACCCTGGCACAAGATGCGATCAGCTCGATCAGAACCATCCATGCCTTCGGCGCTCACCAGAAGATTGTTGACGGATACGAGACTTACCTCCAGAAGGCGCATAAGGAGGGCAATAAGAAGTCCGTCATTTATGGCGTGCTCTTCTCCGGCCAAACATTCCTAGTCATGTCAGGTACTTCGCTAGCCTTCTGGCAAGGATTTCGCATGTTCCAGAGTGGAGAGATTGGCGACGTGGGCACAGTCTTCACCGTCGTTCTGAGTGTCGTGCTCGGTGCCACTGCAACATTGCTCATCTTCCCGCAGATCCAGGCTTTCACGAATGCCTCCTCGGCGGCAGGCGAGTTGTTCTCCATCATCGACAGACCATCAGCACTCGATCCACTCTCGGTAGAAGGCATGCAGCCATCCGACTGCGACGGGGAAATTATCATCAACGATCTACGGTTCGCCTATCCTGCTCGACCCAGCGCCCAAGTTCTGAAAGGGCTGAGTCTCTCGATCCCAGCGGGAAAGACAACCGCCCTTGTTGGGCCCAGTGGATGTGGTAAATCGACCTTGGTCGGTTTGCTTGAGCGATGGTACCAACCCGCTACTGGTCAGATACTGCTTGATGGCCGAGACATCTCCGAATACAACACGAAATGGTTGCGGTCCAACATTCGCCTCATTCAGCAAGAACCCACCCTGTTCCAAGGTACGATCTTCGAGAACATCATCAAGGGCCTCGTAGGAGATCAAAGGGATTTACCCGCGGAAGCGCAAATGCAACTCGTGCAGGAAGCGTGTAAGAACAGCAACGCGCATGACTTTATCGAGGCGCTACCGGAAGGCTACCATACCCAAGTTGGAGAGCGAGCAAGTATGTTGAGCGGTGGCCAACGACAGCGCATTGCCATCGCTCGAAGCATCATCTCGAACCCCAGGATCTTGTTGTTCGACGAAGCGACTAGTGCCCTGGACCCTCGCGCTGAGAAGGTCGTGCAGAGTGCACTCAACCGCGTTTCGATCAACAAGACCACGCTGATCATTGCCCATAAGCTTGCCACTGTGATGGCGGCCGACAACATCATCGTCATGAAAGAAGGTCAGATCTACGAGCAGGGTACCCATCACGAACTTCTCGAGAGTGATGGTCTTTATGCAGCCATGGTGCGCGCACAAGATCTTGGTACGAAGGCCAACAACGAGGACATTGAAAAAGAGCTGCTGGAAACTGCAGATGTCGAAGACGCCCTGGACAGCAAAGCCCCGATGCGACGAATGCAATCGCAGTACAGCAACACGGATCTCGAGCGCGAAATCGAGCAACTTGCTGCTGGAACCCTGGGTTACTCTCTCATCAAATGCATATGGATCATGCTGAAGGAGAACCTCGATCTCTGGGTCTGGTATACCGCCACCATCATTGGGGGCATTATCGGCGGCGGAACCTACCCAGCTCAGGCTATCATCTTCTCTCGTCTCGTTCGGGTGTTCACACTGCAGGGGTCTGAGGCACAAGATCAAGCCAACTTCTGGGCCCTCATGTTCTTTGTACTGGCTCTCGCGAACCTCTTCGCATACTTTATGATCGGCCTTGCATGCAACAACATTGGACAGGCAATGACCCATCGCTATCGAAGGGAGATGATCGAACGCATCATCAGCTTTGACCAGGAGTTCTTCGACCGCCCAGAGAACTCGTCTGGCGCGTTGACCTCAAAGCTATCATCTGCACCGACAGCATTGCAGGAGTTGATGTCTGCGAACTTGGGTCTTATGTTCAACATCTTGGTCAATATCACGGCGAGTAGTGCGCTTGGCATAGCGTACGGCTGGAGGCTTGGACTCACGCTGGTATTCGGCGGGCTAACCATCATTGTCGCTGCCGGCTACTATCGCATTCGACTGGACCAGAAGCTCGAGAGTGCCACAGAGGAACAGTTCTCTGGCAGCGCGGGTTTGGCTACGGAAGCCGTCACCTCCATACGAACGGTCAGCATGCTGACTCTCGAAACCTCGATCATGCGGCAATACAGCGACACACTCCGGGCTATCACGAGCAAAGTCGTCAAGAATTTAACCTTTGCGCTGATCCCATACGCGCTTTCGCAGTCCGCTGACTTCTTGGTCATGGCTCTAGGCTTCTGGTACGGATCGCGACTGATTGCGAAGGGCGAGTACACTACGTCGCAGTTCTTTGTGATTTTTATCGCCATTGTCTTCGGAGGTCAGGGCGTCGCGCAATTCTTCATGTACAGCACCTCAATCACAAAGGCGGAAGGGGCTGCAAACTACATCTTGTGGCTGCGGACAGTCAAACCGACCATATGCGAATCCGATGAAACCGACGGGAAGGGGCCGCCATCTGATGGCACCATCGCCATGGAAGACGTCGAGTTCAGATACAAGCAGCGCAACGCATTCCGGGTGCTGAGGGGTATCTCCATGAAGATCGAACCTGGCAAATTTGCTGCTTTTGTTGGCCCTTCAGGTTGTGGCAAGAGTACAGTCGTGTCTCTGCTGCTACGCTTCTACGACCCGATATCCGGACGCATCACATTGGATGATCAGGATATCTCGCTCATGTCTCCCCAGCTCTACCGCCGTTACATGTCGCTG